AATTTCTTTCTATTTATAGTAGAGATGGGGTCTCGCTCTTGCTCAGGTTGGTTTCGAACTCCTGAACTCAAACTATCCGCCCGCCTCGGCCTCCCAGAGAGCTAGGATTACAGGCGTGAGCCACCGCGCCCGGCCTGATTTAGCCTCTTGTTGAAGCTTTCTGCTATATGTTGAAATTTCCTAAATGTCCTTTCACTTCTTTAAGTTCTGCTACATCCTTTCTTATGTAATCTAGCTCTTTAGCAACTTTTTCATCTTTTTCATTGATGTCCTGAAGTTTTTTTTGTTTGTTTGTTTTGTTTTTTGTTTTGGCTTTTCTGTGTTGGTTTTCAACCTTCTCTTCAGTCCCATTCGTATTATTTTCCATCATATTCTGAATTCCATGTATGACATTTTGATCATGTCTTCTTTGTCAGGGCCCATTGCTGTAGATCAGTTGTGATCCCTTGAGGGTGTCAAACTGTTTGGTTTTTCATGTTGTCAGAGTTCTTTTGCTGGTTTCTTCTCATCTGAATAGTCTTCTCTTAACTCGGGGTGGATAGATTTGCTGCATACCTGAGTTCCTTTTCTGGACACTCTCCTACTTAGTGAAAAGAAGGAGTGGTCTGTAGATGGTACTTCTTTTACCTACTCCAGGTGGCTGACCTGGCAGGATAGGGGGAGAGGCACTGATAACCTATAATTTAGCAGTTCTACATTGTCCCATTCCCCTGTGATGTCACAGTCCAAGCCAGTGTAGTATGGTCTTTCTGAAGAGTAGTGGGTTGTTCCCTAAGCCTTTGTTGGAAGCTCAGGTGGGGTGCTGGGTGAGTCCCTCTCCACAGAGGCTGGTGTTGCAAGGGAGTGCTTTACCCAGGTATCCCTGTGCAGTGACAGTGGCAGCTGAATGAGATTATCTAGGTGGTGGTCATGGGTGTCAGAGCTATGAGTGTTTATTCCTACTGGATTGAGATGTGTTGGCAGCTCGATGCTAACAGGTTCCTTCTGGAGAGTTGAACCATGGGGGCATTTCCCTACAGGCTGTGGGTAGGACCTTTGAGGCTGGGGCCGTGGGCTCTGGTGGCAGTGTAGGAGCCTTAAGGGTGGACCCAGAGGGCCCACTGGCAACTGGGGAGACTTGGGGGCAGAGCCACAGGGCCAGGTGGATGCATGGGATTCATGGATTTGGGTCCATGGAGTCAGGCTGCCAGACAGCCCAGGCACTCTCCCTGCCAAGGTCCTGTGGAGGCAGTTGCCAAGGGACTTAGCAGGTGGCATCTGTGGCATCTATTCTGCTCAAATCCCCCTTTGGGGAAGGAGTGTTTGGCTCCAAGTCATGGGGGACATGAAAGTACCCACTCTCCCTGCTTTCTCCCCATCCCAGCTGGGGAAATGCAGAGATGGCTGCAGCAAAGCTGAGCCCTGTGTAGACCTGCATTTTTGAATTCGAGAGTTCAGAATGGTGTCAGTTACAGTGACCAGGGAATGGAAGTCACCAGGTCCCTGCTATGCATGCTGTCCAGTGCAATGTCACTGCACAGGCTCCAAGCAACTTCTAGATCAGTTGAGGGATCTGTGTGGTGGAGGAGAAAGCCTCACAGCTCAAACCACAGTGTCCATTGGTGGAGCGTGAAGCCCCAGGATTCTCTCCTCCTGTCCTTCCCCATGTGTACTATATATGCCTCCTCCAGTTTCCTTCAAATCTTCCTTCAAACATATCCAAACATGGATATGTTAAACTAAACTTGCATCCCCTTCCAGATTTACATTCCATTTTTTCATACTATAGAGTCTTTTTGATGTGCTGTTAAAGTTGGTTTGCTACTATTTTATTGAGAATTTTTTCATCTATGTTCATTGAGGCTAATAGACTGTAATTTTGTCTTCTTGTAGCGTCTTTATCTGTCTTTGGTATCAGGGTGATGGTGGCCTCATGAAATATGTTTGGAAATATTCCTTTTACTTTTTTTCTTTGGAAGAATTTTAGAGGAATTATTATTAATTCTTCTTTAAATGTCTGGAAGAGTTTAGTAATCAATCCATCTGGGCCTGGAATTTTCTTTTTGGAAAGTTCTGAGAACTCTTTCTTCATAGCTGAAGAATCTTGGTACTTATGTAAAGTTCTCAAGTAATTCTAACGTGGAAAGCAAAAACTAAACTGATGGACTAAATCAGAAAACCACCATATCAAGCCTCAAGGAACCTGATAACTCACTAGGACCACTTGAAAGCCCCAGACCTATAGTATAGCCACTATTTATTGAAATAATATTATTAATAGTTGAACACCTATAGGGTACTAGAAATTGAAAATATTAGGTTAAAAAATAATGGTCTACCCTTAGAGAGGTTATGCTTTAGTAAGGGATAGATACATTTTTGGGTACAGATGCCCAGATATTCTCCAATTGAAAAATTTATCAATAACGAGAAGAATTTTATCAAAAGGGACAGTAAGTAAGAGAAACAACAAAAATAAACTTCTAATCAAGTTCAAATATTTTATAAAAATAGAACTCATTGAGGGAAAATCAAGCTGTTACCAAAAACTTGGCACTTGTCCATGAGGCTGTATCAGAAGAACAAGTAGAGGTGGTATGGGGAGAAGGAAAGAGTTTTAGTACTTTGCTAGCAAAGGAGTAAAAATGGTAGACCTTCCCATCTCTAAATCCAAATTTCCTGAACATTTGCAGAAATACAGAGCTTTTAAAGGATGAGTTCTCAGCTTGAGGCAATTACTGTTCAACTACAATTGATGATTCTGATCATGCCATCTCCACTGAAGACAATCTCATGACCTCTGGCCAGGACCTCCCTTTACCAAGTTGGGCTGGGCCATCTCCTGTTGCACATATAGATAAACAAAAGACTTACCCTGCCCTTCCCAACCACTGGCCTGAGGCAGGGATGCAGGCTTTAGTCCTCAAAAAGGAGTGGAGTGTGTTTTAAGGAGACAGAAAATATTTTTGCTGTTTTTTCCCAGGCCATTCTCTTTGTTACATATTTCCCACTGTCAATATTTCCCTTCCATATCTATGGGAGGAGGCGTGACTACTCTGTTACAAAGGATGTTCATACTAGGACCTGCAAATGGGGAATGAATGACCATTTCAATCCATAAATCAAGGATTTAGCAATGCTGAACATCAAAAACAAACAAGCCAACAAACAAACTATGCTGAATTTTGTAGTGTCAAAATATTAAATAGAGATTAGAAAAATTGGAAAATCATAAATAATATTATAGTTATATTGAAAATGTGTAATTATTACTTTTTATATCAGATTGATGATTTTTGAGTAGTCATATTTTTGTCTGTTTCCTAAAAGGAAATATGATCCAACATCCTATTCCAGGAACGACACTGACATAATTTGTTTTATTTACCAATGTTTCTTTCAAATAATCATCTCTCTCTCAGCTGTAATTTGAAGTTTTTAAAAGTTAAAATCCATATAGAATGAGCACATGGAAACCAAGAAAAACAAGTGTAATTTTGTTGTTCCCAGGCCCTCCAGACTTCTAGGATTAACTTTTTAAATATCAAATAACTTAAGCTTTTATCCTACTTGGATAAATCCTGTGATCTCTGTAATATCCTAGGGTTTTCCAAAAAGAAGAGAGTAATAGGTAGGCATTTCATTTTTTCATAATTTTACGTTCTAAATTTTGTCTTCCTAACTTGAGTTTCAAAAACCACTCCAAATTCTTTATCAAGAAGTTGCTATTTCTTTTCTACAAAATTCCCCACAAACATAGCCACAGTGTTTCTGCCTTCATTCCTCAAATAATATTACTGTATGGCCATTGAATATTATAATTTTTACCAAAACTCATTGGACAGTGCACAATAAATACAGTGTTCCACAGAACAGGATACAAATTTGGATTAAATCCTCATCAAACATTCCTTACAGAGGGACCTCTTAATTATTGACTGTCTGTCTCTTTGGGTCCTGGGCTAATAATATGTTATTGGAGTCCTTTTTCTCACATGCCTTGATCTCTGAGATACATGTCCCTGATAATATTTCAAATTCACTTTTTTCAATTTGCTGAGAAAGTCACCTCCCTCTTGCAGCCAATGATCTCCCAACTATACTAGCTTAAAAGGCCTCCTCTTTCCCCAAAGAAAGAACTATCAAACTTCTTTTCTGTTTCCAAACAAACAAACTTAAAAGAAGCAATACCCTCCCCCTCAGAAATTCATGTATCAATCTGGAACAAAGCACAGTCAACTTCCAAATTAGAAATGTTTTCTCATATTCCATGTTTACTGAAATACAAATAATAAAGCAGAAGAAAAATATACTAGGAAGAGCAGTAGACTTGAATAAGAAGATGATGAGTTTAGTTTGTTTGTTAAGAAGTTGTGTGACTATGGCCATACCACCCTGAATGTGCCTGATCTTGTCTGATCCTAAGAATTTGTGTGACCAAGTAAATCATTACCATACAGAGCTTCACTTTCCCATGTATGTAACAAATAAATGTTGTCCTCCTGTTATGTGCTACTCTGAATGTAAAAAGAAGCATAATAAGTTTAATCAGAAAACTTTTAGCCAGATGATACCAACTCACAGTATTTACAGTTGCAAAGTAGTCTATACTTAATAGTCCTTACAAAACCTCCCATCTCTGGCATTTAAAGAAGACATATTCGTGCCCAGTGTTTGATAGTAAGATGAGAGTAGAAACAGATTAATGGATTAATGCCACCAATAGCAAGTGGCAGATAATAATTCCTACCCCTCTAATGACACAAGGATTCACAAAGTGTTACTTTGCTTGATTATATGCATACTATTTATTTTTTCCAAATAAAAAAGCAATAATGCTGCAAGTAACAATTTTAAAAAATCAAAAATATAAATTTCTTTCGTAATGTTGTCACTATACTGATAAAAGGTGAGAAGAAAGCAATTAAGCAAATAGTAAGGAAACGAAAAACACATACTACATAAACAGTGAAAATAAATTATTGAGAAAAAGCTCAAATTTTCTTCCCCATAGTAAAAAACAGGATAAGAAGGCTGTAACTAAAATACTGTATTAAACAGCAGAATCTCCCTGTCCTGTAACTACATGCACGGAGACATCTTATTTCTGATCAAAACTTTCTTCTACTAATGGTTTTTCTCAGGGCAAGATGGACATCTTTGTTCCTCAAGCTGTAGATCAAGGGGTTCATCAAAGGAACTGTATTGGTGTAAAAGACAGAAGAGATTTTTCCCTGATCCATGGATTCAGCTGATGATGGTTTGAGGTACATATATATACCTGATCCAAAGAATAGAGAAACAGCAATTATGTGGGAGCTGCAGGTGCTGAAAGCTTTGGACCTGCCCTCCTTGGTCCTGATACAGAGGATGCTAGAGAGAATAAAACCATAAGAGATAAAGATGGTGAGAGTAGACACAGAGAAGATGATGCCTGCTGCAATGAAAACCACCAGCTCATTAATGTAGGTGCTGGTGCAGGAGAGCTGGAGCACAGGGAGGATGTCGCACAAATAGTGGTTGATGGTGTTTGCATCACAGAAGGTCAGTCTCAGCATGCACGCAGTGTGGGCTATGGCACCAGAGAAGGCCATCAAGTATGAACCAAGCATAAGGTTGCAACACACTTTAGGGGACATGGCAATGTTATACAAAAGTGGATTACAGACGGCCACATAGCGGTCATAGGCCATTGATGTCAGCACATAAGTTTCAGAAATGGCAAAAAAGCAGAAAAAGAAAAGCTGTGTCATGCACCCCTGGTAGGAGATAATGTTCTTTTCTGATACAAAGTTCATCAGCATTTTGGGTGTAAACACAGAAGAATAACAGACGTCTATGAAGGACAAGTTAAAGAGGAAAAAGTACATGGGGGTGTGAAGGTGAGAATTCAGCCCAATTAGAGTTACCAAACCCAAATTTCCCAACACAGTGACCATATACATTGCTAGAAACAGAAAGAACAAAGGGAGTTGGAGACCTGGCTGGTCTGTTAATCCCGCCAGAATGAATTCAGTCACAAAGGAGCCATTTTCAGGAGCCATTCTTCTTTAAGGAATCTGTGGAGACAGGAAATAAGGGTTGCATTGGATTACAATCCAGCTTTTCCCACCATAGGTGCACTCAGAGTATGGGGTGTACACTGGGATTGTCTGAGACTAGCCCAACATAGACCCACAGAATCTGCCTCTACCACTGCGATGATACTGGTGGGCACTGACTTCCCCTCGTGAGAGACTTACTAAGCTAAATACAGCAAAAAGCACCACCAACTCAGCCCACAGCTTGTAGGGAGCAAGGCTCTGTCCCCCTAAGGTATGCTAAAAAATCACTGACATGAAGCAGATTAATTTGAGAAAAAGACAGGCAAATTTATTTAGTGTGTATAGAAGGGAATCTTCAGAATGAAGGTTCAATTCCTCAGTGAGGTACAGAGCTTTTGGAAGAATTGGGGCTTTGAAGCAGTAAGACAGCTTTTGCAAAGGAAAAAGGCAGAGGCTTGGCTAGCTAGCAAAGGTGGTCTTACGTGAATGAAAACTTACAGGTACCACCCCTCTGAGAGACTAGATGGTAAATGCTTTTCTCTTCTTAGACCTTAAAAGATGTCAGACTCCCAGTTACTCTTTCCTTGATTGGAAAAGGAAAGAGTTAGCTGTATTAAAGGAGATTCTCAAAAGATATAAATTCCTCCCCTCCAAAAAAAAAAAAAAGACAGCTTTGCAGAGTTACTTCTATCTGTGAGACCCATAGCAGCCATCTCAGAATATATCAAAGAAATATATTTTGTAGTAAAATATTTCTAATTTTGCTCAAGAGTGAAGGCTGGTGGTTCCATATACAAATGTGACTGCTTAGAAAGACCATGGGGTAAGAAGGAAGAAGGGTGGAAGGGCACAGAATCATCCTTCACTCATTTCCACACTCAGGTGAGCCCTTTCCTCACTGGTAAAATTAGAGGCAGAGGCCTGAGCACCCTGGTGCCGATCTCTAATGCAGATTAGACTTTGGTGGGTGGAAGCCAGGAACACAGTTGCCAATCCAAAAACAAGGGCTAGGGTCCAGGAGAAGTTAGGGTACTGTCTCATGTCATAGAATATAAGCCCTAAATCCAGAGCAGGGAGAGCTGAGTCCATGGAGAGGGAACTCACTGATTAGACACTGCAAACACCGGGTCCACCAATGTCGCTGTTTATTCTCTGCTCCGTTGTCAAACAGACACTTCCACTAGTTTCACCTGCGCCTCAGGAAAGCACAAAATAGGAAGGAGGAATATCTTAGATCCCTGGACTTCCATCTCAAAACAAAGAGGATACTGATAGGCACGGAATTCAGAAACTCACCCTTCTTGGTCCAGAAAACCTTAATGCTTCCTATTGTTGTTATTAACCACTGGGGTTCTGGAAGGGCAGTTTCAGCCTCTAAGTCTTAAGTTTCTTTAAGTCTGAGAAGATGCAGCCTGGACTCATATTTCATTGTGCCCTGGAATGCTTCTGAACTATAGATTATTACATCTTATTATAAATTGGATTCTTCTCAAGCAGCAGCAAAAAATACAGTCTTATTATCATTATCACTTTTGCTCCCTGGTAAGACATAAAAGAGATGATGTGAGTTTAATGACATGATGCACCTTCTTATAAACAGGGTAGAAGCCAGCTCAGTCACTTCCTCAGGGAACAGCATCTAGGTTTGAAGGGGAAATAACAGCTTTGTGTTTACACCTGGGCCAAGATTTCTCTGTTATTCCTTAGAGACTCAATTGTTCACTCAATTTTTTCCTTCTCCCTAGGCTTTGTACATCTCCTAAGGCAGAGCAAAAATAAACTCCTATCTCCTCCATCATCTTCACACCTGATGGGAAATCGATTATATTGATTTTTCTCTCTTTCTTTCTTCTCTTTTCTAAATAGGAATTGTCCACAGGGTCTGTCTCCTGGCTTGCTTATTTCTTTACCTGAGATTTTTCAAAGCATCCTAATGTATTCAGGCCATTACAACAAATATCATAGATTGGGTAGCTTATTAAAAACAGAAATTGATTTTTAATAGTTTTGGACACTGAAAGGCTGAGATCAAGGCACCAGCAGGTTTAGTGTCTGGCGAGGGCCTTCTTCCACACGGACAGCCTTCTTCTTACTCTAACCTCACACGGCAGAAGGGGAAAAGGCTCTCTCTGGCTTCTTTTATAAGAGCACTAATCCTAATCAAGAGGGCTCAGCCTCCATGACCTAATCACTTACCAAAATCCCCACCTCCTAATATCATTACTATGGGGGTGAGGTATTCAATATGTGAATTTTGGGGAGACATAAACAATCAGACAACAGCACTACGATTGCAGTAATTCACTTCAGTTGACATCTCTCCTGGGATATCTTTGAAAAACAATTTAATGTAGTAAGTCCTTCTTTAAGTATTTATATCTAAACACCCAAAAGAAATTTCTACATAAGCGTCCTGCTGGGTACTTAAATTTAACATTTCATTAATGATATAATAAATTAATTCTATTAGTAATTATGGCAATGCAGAGTTTGGGCTATGGAGTTATAGGAAATGCACGGGAATTCTATCCCCAGGTTTAGGCAGGTTACTTGACCTCCCTGTGCCTTAGCTTCACATTTATAAAATAAGTATGGTAAAAAAATTTCTGAAGAGTTTTAGCTAGAGAAAAATGTGATTTTCACAAATATTTCTTTAGTACATACTATGTACTATGAACTGTACTTATTATCTGGAGCCAAGTGTATAACAAAAAAGACAGAAGTGATATTTGTTTATATAGAACTTTAAAGGGGAACATAGAACTCAAAGGGAACAAAAATTTCTGATAGGTTTTATGTTGGAGAATGTACCGCAAGTGGTAAGAACATAAATATGACAGCTGATATTTATGGCCTACTTACCACTCTTCTAACCATTTTACTTACATAATTTCATTTAATCATCACAGCCACCCTATGAAAGGTGCTATTTTTTACCATACTTATTTTATAAATGTGAAGCTATACGGCTTTTATCTTTTTGAGGTAAGTCCTGTCTATGCCTATTTTTAAGTGTTCTTGTCATAAAAACGTGCTGAATTTTATCGAATGCTTTTTCTGCATCTTTTGAGAGGATTATATGATCTTTGCTTTTACTTATATTTATATTTTTAATTAGATTTGCATGTGTTGGACCAGCCCTGCATCTCTGGGATGAAGCTCACTTGGTCGTGATGGATTATTTATTTGATAAGCACCTAAATTTGGCTTGCTAGGATTTTATTGAGAATTTTTGAATCTATATTCATAAGAGATATTAGTCTGTTGTTTTCTCTTTCTGTTTAGTCCTTTTCTGGCTTTGGTATCAAGGTGATGTTGGCTTTTTAAAACATTTTGGAGAGGATTCCTTCCTTCTCAATGTTGTGGGATAATTTCTGCAGAATAGGCGCCACTTCTCCTTTGTAGGCTTGCTAACATTTGGGTGTGAAACCATCTGGTCTGGGACTTTATTATTTAGGAAGATTTTTATTGCTGTTTCAATTTTGGTACTTGATATTGATCTGTTCAGGAATTCTATTTCTTCCTGATTGAGCCCAGGGAAGCTGTGTGTCTCTCATAATTTGTCCATTTCCTCTGCATTTTAAAGTTTATGTGCATAAAGATTTTTACAGTATTCATAGATGATATTTTGTATTTCCATTGTATCAGTTATAATTTCTCCTTTTTCATTCTTGATTGAGTTTATTAGAGTCCTTTCTTTTCTGCTTCTGGTTAATCTTGCAAGTTGTGTGCCAATTTTATTTTTCTTTTTTTTTTTTTTTTGAGACAGAGTCTCACTTTGTTGCCCAGGCTAGAGTGAGTGCCGTGGTGTCAGCCTGGCTCACAGCAACCTCAATCTCCTGGGCTCAGCGAGCCTACTGCCTCAGCCTCCCGAGTAGCTGGGACTACAGGCATGCGCCACCATGCCCAGCTAATTTTTTGTATATATATTTTTAGTTGGTCAATTAATTTATTTCTATTTTTGGTAGAGACGGGGTCTCGCTCAGGCTGGTTTTGAACTCCTGACCTTGAGCAATCCGCCCGCCTCGGCCTCCCAAAGTGCTAGGATTACAGGCGTGAGCCACCATGCCCGGCTTATTTTTCTTTTGAAGGAATCAACTTTTTGTTTTATTAATCTTCTGTATCTTATTTTTATTATCAATTTTATTTAGTTCTGCTCTGATATTTGTTATGTCTTTCCTTATGCTGGCTTTGAGATTGGTTTGCTCATCATCTTTTCATTCTTTAGATGATTCATTAGATTGTTGATTTGTGATCTTTCTGTCTTTTGGATGTAGGCATTTATGGATATGAATTTTCCTTTCAAGACTGTTTTAGCTGTGTCCAAAAGATTTTGATAATTTGTATCCCCTTTATTATTTAGTTTAAAAAATGTGAAGATTACTTTGTGGACATTTTTCATATTTGAGTATTAGGCTGTTATTTGTGTTCTGAGGCACATTCATTAAATTCACTAAAAACATTGTTGAAGGTTCACTGATTTTTTACAAGTAGGAAAATTTTGTAAATTTAAAAAACCCTAATAGATTTTGAATCAAAACACCCAAGTCCCAGTCCTAGCTCTAGCATTTATGAGTAGTGATTTGGAACAAGCCAGGAAAATCTCTTGGCACCAGGCCATTGAACTGTGAAGTGGAAAGTAGGATTCCCTCCCCTGTTTGTCTCTCAGTTCTTCCTTGAAGAGCACAGAAACAAACTATTCCAGACTTATGGAAAATATCCTTTCATTCCCAACTTGGAACTAATACCTCTTGTAGTAACCTGGATGGAAATGGAGACCATTCTTCTAAGTCTAGTATCACAAGAATAAAAAAATGAACACCACATGTACTCAAAATTAAATTAGAACTAATTGATCAACACTTACATGGACATATAGAAATAACATTAATCAGAAATGAAGCAGGTGGGAGTGGGCAAGAGAAGATGGGTAAACTCACACCTAACGTGTACAATGCACCCTATCTGGGGGATGGGCACACATATAACTTTGACTCAAATGATACAAAAGCAATTATGTAGCCAAAATATTTATATCCCCATAATATTCTTAAATTAAAAATAAATTAACAGCCATCATCTTTTTGACTGTTTTCTCAAAGGGAAAATAATATAACATCCTGTTCAAACAAGTCATCATCAAGATTTAGTTTATTCACCAAACATTTCTTTCAAATTATCATTTATGTCTGAACTATAATGTGAGATATTAGTACCTTAAAATCCACATGGAAATAGCAAATGACAACCAACATAAACAGGAGTGATTTGGTTTTTCCCAAGGCCTCCAGCCCTCTAGGTTTATCCTGTCTTTAATACCAAATGGCTGAAGTCTCCATCCTGCTCAGGAAAACCCTGTGATCACTGTAATATTTGTAGGGTCTTAAAATGTATACAGTATCATAGGTAGAAGCTTTCATTTTTTGTCTTTTTACTTTCCTGACCTAATGACATGTCCTGGGCTCCTTTCTCTTCCATGCCCTTTTCTATGAATTACAAGCATCTGAAAATATTTCAAATGCTTTTTTTTCTTTTGCAGTTTTGTAAAAAAGTGATCGCCCTACTTGAGCCAATTATTAATATCTTGAACTATTCTAGCTTAACAGATCTCTTCTTTCACAAGGAAAATGATGATCAAACTACTATTTGGATTTAAAAAAAAGCAACATACAGCCTGAGAGAAGTTAATATGTAAACTAAAAACAAAGCATACTCAATTTCCCAAAAGTAATATTTTTGCATATACAATTTCATGCTAAGCTAATTAAAAATAATAAAATTAAATAAAAAGAAAGTATACCTGAAAGAGAGGTAGCCTTAAAATTAGGAGGCTATTAGAGTATTATAGGCTTTTTCATCAAGAAGCTGTGTGACTTCATGCAATAAATGTATTTTGGTGGTCTACTGTGAGTTATTTTTAGTATACAAAGGTAAATGTGAAATTTATGCCAAAAGAAGATTAATGCATAGTGTTTACAAAGACAAAATGGGTTATATATGATAGGCCTTGTAGAGCCTTGCATATGTGTGAAACATTGGCATTTGAAGAAGACAAGATGCTGTCCAGTTGGGGAATGGCAAGACAAGAGTAGAAACAGGTTGTCAAGTTCATGTGTGCACTGGCATATTGCAAGTCAAAAAAAAGAAACTCACAGCCATCAATAACCCATTGTTATCCTAGTTTTACTTCACTTGATTATTTGCAGAAGCATCCACCTTTTCCAGGAGGACAAAAAAAAGTCCATAATGACAATGGAAAAAACAGAGATTAAAATTTTCTTAACTTCATTACAAAATTGGAAAAATGATGGAGAAGGGGAAAATGTGCAAGTAATGGGGAAAAAGAAAACCTATATTAAAAAATAGTTGGAAATACATAGAGGAAATCAAAAAATAGGAAAAAATATTACTCCCTAAACTGTTATAATAAAATATAGAGACTCCCTGCCCTGTAACTACATGCACCGAGGCATGTTGCTTCTGATCAAAATTTTCTTCTACTCAAGGTTTTTCTCAATGCAAATTTAACATCTTTATTCCTCAAACTGTAAATTAATGGGTTCATCATGGGAACCACATTGGTGTATAAGACAGAATAGATTTTTCCCTCATTTATAAACCCAGCAGAAGATGGCCGGAGATACATAAATGCACCTGATCCAAAGAACAGAGAGACAGCAACTATGTGGGAACTGCAGGTGCTGAAGGCTTTGGATCTGCTCTCCTTGGAGCTGATTTGAAGGATGTTGGAAAGGATGCAACCATACGAAATAAAGATGGTGAGACTGGGCACAGTGATGTTGATGCCCCCCACAATGAAAACCACCATCTCATTAACATAGGTGCTGGTGCAGGAGAGGTGCAGCATTGGAAGGATGTCACAGAAATAGTGGTTGATGGTGTTTGCATCACAGAAGGTCAGTCTCAGCATGCACCCAGTGTGGGCCATTGCGCCAGACAAGGCCATTAGGTATGAACCAAGCATAAGGTTGCAACACACTTTAGGGGACATGGCAATGTTATACAAAAGTGGGTTACAAATGGCCACATAGCGATCATAGGCCATTGACATTAGCACATAGCATTCAGAAATGGCAAAAAAACAAAAAAAGAAAAGCTGGGTCATGCACCCCATGTAGGAGATAATGTTCTTCTCTGATATGAAGTTCATCAGCATTTTGGGAGCAAACACAGAAGAATAACAGAGGTCAATGAAGGACAAATTAAAGAGGAAAAAGTACATGGGGGTGTGAAGGTATGAGTTCAGCCCAATTAGAGTTACCAAGCCCAAATTTCCCAACACAGTGACCACATACATTGCTAGAAACAGAAGGAACAAAGGAAGTCGGAGACCTTGTTGGTCTGTTAATCCCACCAGAATGAATTCAGTCACAAAAGAGCCATTTTCAGGAGCCATTCTTCTCTAAAGGGATCTGTGTACATAGGAAAAAAACGGTTATATTAGAGGCAACCCAGCTCTCACCACAAAGCTGCTCCCATAAGAGTTGGGCATATGCTGGGGTTGTGTGAGACTAGCCCAACCTGGACCCACAGAATCTGCCGTTACCACCACCATGATGCTGAGTGGTACCAGCTGCCTCTTCTATCAGTCTGACTAAACTACATACAGCAAACAGTGCCACCAACTTAGCCTACAGCATGAAAACTGAGGTTATCAGTTGCAAAAATGACTGCTGGAAATAAGAGGGCATAAGAGGGAAGAAGGGTCAACCAGGAGAGAATCATCCCTCTCTCATGTCATTATTTCTTCATTCACTTCATCCCTTTCCACACCAGCAAAATTGGAGCCAGAGAGAGGCCTTAGTGACATTGTGCTGTTCTTTAATGCAGATTAAACTCTGTTTGGTGGGAGCTAAAATATTGTTTCTAATCCACAAATATGGGACCAGAGTCCAGGAGAGGTTAAGTTACTGACCCAAGTGATACAATGAAAGCCCTATATCTATATCGGAGAGTGTTCTGTCCGTGGAGAGGGAACTCACTGATTAGACACTGCAACCACTGGGTCCACTAATGTCTGGATGTTCTTTGCTGCTCCTTGAAGAGATCCTTCCGGCACCTTCATTTGAGTCTGAAAACTGAATAATACAGAAAAGAAAGTGGGCTATCTTAGATTCCTGGACCTGCATCTCAAAACAAGGAGAACAGTATTATGCATGGAATTCCATAACTCACCCTTCTTGGATCAGAAATATTTGGTGCTTCCTTATTCTTGTTATTTATAACCATGGTCCTGGAAGAGAAATTTCAGGTTCTCTGGCTTTGGTTGCTTGATACTAAGAAGGTACAGTCCACCTATAAACTGCAATATGCCCTGCAAATTGCTATGAACTACAGATCATAATTTCTGACTATGACTTATGTCCTCTTACACAACAGATAAAAACAAAGTCATTATTATTGTCACATTTGCCACCAGATAAGACATAGAATATTTAAGTTTGCTGATATAATGCACCTGGTTATAAACAGGATAGAAGCTTCTATGTCTCCTCCCAAGAGAACAACTTATAGGTCTAAAAGCGAAATAAGGGTAGTGTATTTACACCCTGGACTATGATCTGCAGTTCCTTAGGGACTGGTAACTTTACTCAAGTCTTCCCTTCTCCCTTGGGCTTGTATATCCCCCAAGATAAAACCAAAAAAAAGCTACCATTTCCCCATCATCTTTATATCTTATGGGAAATATATTGGTTTGAATCTTTCTCTCTCTCCAACTTCCTAAGTGGAAATTTTCCACAGGTCTACCTCTATACTTTCTGCATTTTTATTTCAAATTTTGCAAGAATTGTAGTAACTTATCTCAGTTGTTGTTTCTCATGGGATATCACAGTTTTTTATTTTTAATTCCTTTCTTCCTTCTAACCTTATTACTTCTAAACACCTACCTGATGATCCTGCTGAGAGTTTAGCAGGATCCTGTTTAGATCCTGTAGCCGCTAACTTAAATGTTACTTAAACTCTCTGTGATTCAGGTTCATGATTGCTAAAAGAGGGAGAGTAATAACAGCATCTCTTTTCTTTGGTTGTTCTAAAAATAAAATAGGATACAATGACTCAAATGGTTAGAACATTGTGTAGCACATGATAAATAGTAAATGTCAGCTGTCATTGTTTATATTCCCAAAAACTTGCTAGATCCTCCATGTTGGCACTCATAAGATATTATTTCCTTTTTATTCCTCTTTTCCCCTATAAAAGATAAGTTCTGTAAGGACAAAAATCACTTTTTCTTTGCTGACTGCTTTGCTTGTAGTGCTAAGTACAAGCAGGCTACGTAATAGGAACTCCTTAAATGTTTATGGAAATTATGTTCTCTGGCTGAAAACCTTCAGAAGCTTTTCCATATTTCTCACATGCTAAGACTAGAGTCTACAAACACAATGGCCTCCATCACTTTCCCTACACTACTGCCCAAGTTCAGGCAGTCTTTAGGTTTTGACTGAACTGTTCTACTGAGATGTAGGGGCTCCTAACCCTCATGCTAACATTTTCCCACATGCTCCCTCTTATGAAACCATCAGCACTGCTACTAGAATAAGCTCTGAAAGTGCAGCTCTGTCTCTCCCTAGTTTGGGAACTTCCAGTGGTTCCCCATTACCCACTCACATGACCCACATCCTGGCAATCTTGGTAATAATGTGCACAGATGTAATGGACAATTGAGGCCATGTAGTAAATATAGGAATCTCAAAACTATGATTCAGCCAAATTTAAAACTGAAGAAGAAATTGAGTTTTCTTTAAGAAATGTTACATTGATGAGAAGCTATGAAAAAAATATTCTGATTATTTAAGTATTTTGAGCACTTGTTCATTTAAAAAACCATTTAAATTAGAAGAATGTAAAAATAAATCTGGAGATGGAGTACCCCAGGTAGTATCAACAACTAAACGCTCTAATCAAGGACCAGGCTTTTCCATTTCCCTGTCCTCAGTCTGTTGGCCTCAGTCCTCAGGCTTATCACCTCGTGGTCACAAAATAGCTGCTGTAGCTCTAAAAAATCACATGTAAACACAACTATGTCCAAAGAAGAAAGCCAGATAAAAAGGGAAGAGAACTCCCCTCTTGTAACTCCCTATATATTATGAAATAAATCTTCTGGAGCCAATAGACGACTCCCCTTGATTTCTCTTCAGTTATGGGTTATGTAATATGGCCAACATAACTCCAAGGAAAGCTAGAAAAATGAAACTCCCATTTTCAGCCTATATCATGAAAGAAAATTTTTAGCATTAAGGAAAAAGGGAGAAGGAGTATCTATTGGGGAGGGCACCAACCCTATCCTCACAAACTAAAAGATTGTGAAAAATATTTGTAATAGGAAATTGTGTTCTTTTGATTTAGCTAAAATGTATAACTGTTATTTTTAGGTGATTACTCTTATTTTTAAAGTAAAAAAGTATTATTTTTAAAGGAAATACTTGTTAGTTATTTACTCTTTTTAAATTGATCTTTAAATCAATTCACATGACTTGGGTTAATCAACCCAAGATATGAGAACTGGGTTGATTATATGAGTTCTCCTTCCTTTTCTTAATATTTATAAAATACTTACATATATAAATGTGTATATATAAACATATATAGAGATAATAAAGCTCACATAAAAATATATGCACAAAAATATATAAATATAAATTTACACACACTCATATATGTATTGAGGTGAGGATGAAAGGTGCTCTATTCTTATATAAAGAGGGTTCCTTTACCAGTCAAAAAGCCAAAAATGTGTGTTCCATTATTTGTCAAAAAGATTCTCTGAATGTCTTCAAACTACTTAAAATAAATAGTGCCTCTAAACACAAAATAATGACTTCTAATACTATAATTGTGGGGTCTTTTTGGATATGGTGTCTCTCTAGCGAGAGAGATGAAATAGATCATTTAGGCACTGAACTTTCAATGCATTGACATTAAGATTATTTCCTTTGACATGTTAGTTTGATTTTCAGTTTGAAGCTACCTCTTTGCTATCTATTTCTTGATTGGGTTCTTAGATACTGATCTGGTCTTAGGGTTGTCAATTCATCTCTTATCAACAGTTTTAGGTTAAAGCTGAGTGGGTGGAAAAGGGTAAAGTTAAGAAATGACCTAGAGATGGAAACTTAGTTTATTGGAATAAGCAGACATAGCTAAACATAGTGTTGTCTAAATAAAGACACAAATTCACAACTCATGCTTTTTGTCTTCATTATATCACTTCTAGAAACATTGCTAATGCTCATTTAAATCAATAACATATTCTAATTTTAAGGTGTGAATTCCTTTTTTAAATCTGATGAATCTCGACCAATATCCCTTATGAATATAGATGCAAAAATTCTCAATAAAATCCTAGCAAACCGAATTCAGCTGCTCATATCAAAAAAATAATCCATCATAACCAAGTGGGCTTCTTCCCAGAGATGCAAGGATTGCTCAACAACATATGAAAATCTATAATTGTAATTCACCACATAAATAGAAGCAAAAACAAAGACCTTATGATCCTCTCAATAGACACAGAAACAGCATTTGACAAAATTCGGCCCCATTTTGTGATAAGAACACTTAACAAAATAGGCATAGATGGGACTTACCTCAAAATGATAAAAAGCCATGTAGGACAAACCCACAGTCAACATCATACTGAATAGGGAAAAATTCAAAGAATTCCCACTTATAACTGGAAACTGGCAAGGTTGCCCTCTATCACCACTTCTAGTGTTAGAAGTCCTAGCCAAAAAAATAAGACAAGAGAAGGAAATCAAGGATATGCAAATGGGGGCAGAAGATTTCAAACTATTGCTCTTTGATGATGATATGATCTTATATCTAGAAAACTCCAAAGAATCTTCCAAAAGACTACTGGAACTGATAAATAAATTCAGCAAAGTCTCAGGTTACAAAATCAATGTAGACAAATCAGTAGCATGCATATATGTCATCAACAGGTGAACTGGGAACCAAATCAAAGACTCAATAACCTTCACAATAACAACAAAGAAAGTAAAATACCTAGAAATATATTTAACTAAGGAGGTGAAAGAACTCTATAGGGATAACTATGAAACACTGAGGAAGGAAATAGCAGAGGATGTAAACAGATGGAAAACCACATCATGCTCATGGATCAGCAGAATCAACATTGTTAAAATGTCTATACTATCCAAAGTGATCTACATATTCAATTCAATCCCTATTAAAATACCAGCATCATTTTTCACAGATCTAGAGAAAATAATTCTATGCTTTGAAGTGAACCAAAGATGACTCCATATAACCAAAGCAACCTTAAGCAAAAAGAACAAATTGGGAGGCATCCATTCACCTGACTTTAAGCTATACTGTAAGACTATACTAACCAAAATGACATTGTATTGGCACAAGAACAGAGATATAAACCAATGTAATAGAACAGAGAACCCAGATATAAAACCATATTCCTATTTCCACTTGATCATTGACAAAGAAGAAAAAAACATACAATGAGGAAAAGAATCCCTATTTAATAAATGGTGCTGGGGAAATTGGAGGCTCACATGTAGAAGACTGAAACAGGATCCACACCTCTTACCTCTCACAAAAACCAACTCATGATGAATGACAGACTTAAACACAAGGTAGGAAATTATAAGAATTCTAGAAGAAAATGTTGAAAAAATTCTTATAGACATTGGCCTAGGCAAAGAACTAATGAAGAAGACCCCAAAAGCAATCATAATTACAAACAAAAATAAATAAATGGTACCTGATCAAATTAAAAAGCTTCTGCAAAGCCAAAGAAACTATCAGTAGAGTAAATAGACAATCTACAGAATGGGAGAAAATGTTTTCATGCTATCCATCTGACAAAGGGCTGATAACTAGAATCTATATAGAAATCAGGCAAATCAGCAAGAAAAAAAGTCAAACAATCCCATTAACAAGTGGGCAAAGGACATGAACAGAAACTTTTAAAAAGAAGATAGACTGATGGCCAACAAACATAATACCTCTTGTATTATCCTGGATGGAACTGGAGACCATTATTCTAAGTGAAGTATCACAAAAATGGGCAGACATCACACATACTCACCATTAATTGGGAACTAATCACTTAACTTATGTGCAGATATGGAAGTAATATTAATTGGGGATCTGGCAGGTGGGAAGGGGGAGGAGGTGTAAATTCACATCTAACAGATGCAGTACGTGCTGTCTGAAGCATAGGCATGCTTGTAGCTTTGACTCAAGCTGTGCAAAGGCATATGTGACCAAACCATTTGCACCCACATAATATTCTGAAATCTTAAAAAAGTCTGATGAATCCCAGTGCTTATTTAAAGCTCCTCAAATAATACTAATATATAAATAAAAAATAATCTGAATAGACTAAATCAGAAAGCTTCAATTAACCTAACAGATCAGATCCCAGTAACTCACTAGGACCACTTGGCAGACACAGATCCGCATCTCAGCTACTCTTTATTAAAAAAAAATTAGTTAAGTACCTATAAAGTAAAAATACTGAAGACATATTAATAAAGTAACACTCTATCTTTAGGGATTTTATACACCAGTAAGAGCCAGGGATATTTTTGTGGTAGAGATATACCTAGGAAATTCTATTGGAAGCTGAGGCTTTCAATCAAAGCCCATTCATTGAGGCTCATGTGAATTAAATGTAAAGCTATCTAAAACATTTAGATTATAACAGATTAATTTTATTTTAGACACCAGTGCTTTATTTGAAATGTAAGTATATCAATGGGCTACATAAACATGCATGTATATATGTTTATGTACATGTAACTTGCAGTCAAGTAAGTCAGGCCCTGAAGGCTTGCCCAGCAACTCTCCACACGAGTCAGGACAATATCCAGTTGGCTCCATAAATATCAAAGTGGACCTCTCTCCAGGGAAAGCTAAGGCAAGATTTTTATGTTCTAAGACTCACTGACAGTAGTGTGTCACCTGCCTGACCAGGCATGAAACAATCAGTTTAGTGAAACACCACCCACCAAACTCAGTGACGATGAGACTCAAACTCTACTGACTTAAAAATGTTCAAAATGATAAAGTCTTACTTTATTCCATTTTCTTCTAGATTATCTTGAAAAAAGATGCCATTGAAATATGTTTTTCTTATTTGTTCAATTTTCACATACAGTTTAAGTGTGTTCTCTGTGCAAAGGCTCAGTCATTTTAAGAGAAAAAAAATCTTCTTCTATCTGCACTTTATTCAGATTAGCAAATGCATGTGAATTGCATTTATAATACACTGTGATGCATGCTACAGGAGAAGAAAACATCAGTGGTATGGAAGCCAAAGTAGGAAATTTTTGCCCAGTCTTAGGTCATCAGAACATGCATCCAGGAAGATAGAACCAGTAAGTAATAGGACAGGGAAAAGCAGGAAGTAGTGGATCCAGAAAGGGGAAAATATATTAACCAAGATTAAAATTACATCAACTACAAGAGAAATGTTCTGAGCTTTGGAAGATGATATGTAACTCTACTGTTTAATCCACAGCAGTTTATCTGACACATGGGATTTTGTCACACATTACAATGTCTATAATAAGCTACAGCTCCACATTGAGTTTCAATAAGCATGAACTATCAATTCCTTGATGCAAATTCCATGAATGGATCTTTTCTTAGAGAATAAAGAGGGGTTTAGAAACTTAGGCATTAATTAAAAGGTTTGATTTTTAAATTTAATGAGCTGTTATCAGAAGGTTTTTGCCTGAATAATGCAGGAGGAAATTCAGAAAAATTAAAAAAAAATTCATTGTCTCTTTGCCTCTGCTAACACTACTGGTTTGAGAATTTCAATCTGAGAATACAACTAAGAGTTTGGTAAAAGTAATACAAATCTTTTCACATTTCTGAATCCTAGAGTGAGTGGTGAGCAAACTCTTATCCTTGGACCTCGTTTTACATAATTGTTTCTTTCTAGTTCTGATCTTTTATGTTTCTTTTATCTTTGCCATTCCTGGTAATAATTCTGAAATATTCATTCTCACTGCTTTTATAAATCAAATCAAATCCAACCTGAATCCATGGCAAGTTTCCAATGTGTGACCTATTCATACAAAGTTAAAACTCATGATGATTGCATTATAGCATGTAATGCATTATTTACATGTAAACACCGTGGAAAACTACTTACTATCAAGTTTCCTTTACTGAGTATAGCTGACTCCCATGTTCAGATTCAGACCTATCCAGGTCTCCAAGAAAAATGTTTATCAAGGCAGGTGACATATAAATTACTCTAATTCAATATCTGGGACTGAACATAAAGTCAGACAGTGCAGAATCATGTCTGAACTTGAAATGTGATATATGGTTCTGATTCAATCATTATGATTTACAACAATTCTAGCTAGTGAAGCACAGTTCTTTCTACATCCCCAAATACTTTCATATTTCTAAATTCCCTAATTCATTTCATTTCAGAGCTATCAAAAATAGTGCCTAAAGAAATTCATTAAGAAAAGACTTTATCGAGAATGTGGAAAGGGCTGAGAAAACAAAATTATGTAATTTGAAATGTGAGCTACACTCTCTCTTACATACCATTAATGTAAGTGTAATAATTAATACATAACATACTATAAATCTACACAAGGGAAATGACATTGACTTTCCTTCTCCCATAGACACTGGTGGAAAATTCTTATCAAGTATGATAAAAATAATTTTTTGTGTCCTGAAGTGCTATATATTACTCCGTGGGTGTTACCCAATCTATGCTGGTCCTATTCTGTGTGGGTCATTCTATACTACAAAAGTTGTTCTCATAAACATGAGAATCTTAGCATTTGGTTATGGTTTAATTTAATATTCAGCTGAATTAGAGACCTAATCAAAGTTTTGTAACCTTAATGTATTGTCAAATTTATCATAAATATATGCATACAGTGTATAAAATGTACATTTCAATATAATTACCATGAAGATCTATAAGTAGAACATTCCCAGCACCCCAGAGCATTCCATGGGCTCCTTCTTGATTGTAGCTCCATCTGTTCTTCCATTCTCCATCCTGATTCACTTCAATCACTTCCATACTTTCTTTATACCTTCATCATCGAAGTGGATCTTCATTGTCATCTTCATTCAGCTCAGAGAAGGACATAAGGAATGTGGGGAGAACACGATGTGGCCCTGGAATGGTGTCCATCATATCTGGAGCTTTCGCATGCCACAGTACACTTCAGGAAAGATTGGCAAATGTGTGTTCTGGAAGAAGAGTGAACAGCAGCAATCTCTGCCACACTGGGTTAATCAAATTGTGCATAAAAAATGTCAATGATGTGAGACTAAATAAGATATTGACTATAAGAATGTATGGCTGACCTTGGGATTTAGTAAGCATCACTAACAAGAATGATTATGTCAGGGCACCCTTATGTGTTTCCATTTGCTGTATAGGCCACAATAAAATGATGGTGTATTCACACCTTCTAAATTAGGCAATGGAGCTATGAAACATGAAATGTGAAAGATACTTTCTGGAGATTTTTCTTATTTGAATATTTTGCTTTTATTTGTGCTTTAAAACATTTTTACTCACTATTTCACTGATTTTTAAAAGTAGATAAATTAGTAAAATAATAAATTTTTTAAAGCCCTAATAGATTTGAAATCAACACAGCCAAGTCCCAGTCTCAACTCTTCCATTATAAGTTTTGATTTGGAGCAAGCCAAGAATATCTCTGGGCACCAGGCCCATCATCTACGAAATGGGAACTTGGATTCCCTCCTCCATTTACCCCCCAGTTCTTCCCTGGGGAGCACAGAGACTGACAGGTAGAATAGTGCAGAGAAAACTGTGCACAGGCTCCTCCTAAGAGCAACTGTGAATATGGAGCCTATAACCTCAGAATGTAATACTTTATGACAATGAGAGGCATTTTAATGTTTAAAGGTATTTATTTGGTACAACCAAGTCCTGAAGATAAACCACTTATTTGACCTGGTGCACAAATTAATTAATAGCAAAATGTCCTAATGGTTGAAGGAAAAAACAACTGGGACAGACTTATACAAAAATTCCATGCCAGTATCAATGTAGACATGATGTTAACACAACCAATTTTCAGAGCAATTTTGAGCAATCAGTATAAGACTGATACAAAAAAATCTATCCACGTGTAGGAAATGACTCTACCATACACAATGCACAATGCAACATACATACATTATGAAACTTGCCTTTATAATTCTCTATTACCATACTTTATTTATATTACTGACATATAGCACATTGCTAAAAGCTGCCATGCACTAAGCAGGTACAAAATGTTTGGTGCGTATATTTGTGTATATGTGTGTGTTTATTTAGATAAATAATAAATGATTGAAGCAATAATATTTCATCTTATTGGGTTCATCAAGAACTTCCTGATGAGCCCTGCCTCTTGGATGGGTGCACTTGTAGCTCTGACTTGGGTCCTACAAAAGCAATATATATAACCTAAAGGCTTGTAACCCTGTAATATTCTGAAATAACAAAAAAGAAAAAGAAAAAAACTAAAGAGCAACAGAAACTATGCAGATTAAAAAAATAATAGAATTTAATTTAAATAATTTTAGTTATAAATATTATAAATGTTGTTTTATTTAAAAAGTTAAACCAATTATTTTTGCTGGGTCAATACAAGAAACTCAACCTCTAAAATAAGCCTGTTGACTTCAAAGAACTGAGTCAATCTATTTGCTGATTTGTTTTCCAAAAAGGATTGGTGGTGACTCCAATACATTAGTAGTACTGAGACCACAGGTATGTGCTATGCCTGCAGTTCACATTTTACTTTTTTGTTAAGTAATAAGAGTTTATAGACATGTGTGTTATACACCATATACTATGTCTTTATGAAAGCACGTGAACTTCTAAAATTTGCGCTTTAGAGCAAAATTCAAACAAAAAAATTTTAAGCTTTCTGTTTAACCAGGCACTATAATGAATGTAGGCAAAAGGAGGGTAGAGGAAAAGACTAGGCATTCAGATTCTGCTTAAGTAATAAAAGTTTTAAACAAAATTAAAATAGTGAGATAAATATAATAAATATAAATGCTTGACTCTGTTCTAATAGCAATAAATTTAATTATATTGAAATAAATAACTGGCAGCATCAACTTCTAAGGCTATTCTTATAAACCAATGTTTTAGACCTTTCAAACATTGTGCTATCTTTGTATAAATATAAAAATTACAGCAATAATTACCCATTTCCTCTGGCTATAATATATCTTTTGGAGGGCATCTTGCCCTGAATTCATCAAAAGTAGCAATGGGCAATTGACAGTTTAATTTTGTGTAACACATAAAATAAAATTTTGTGGACCAATTTTGTATTGCTTTTATTATGAATAACTCTTTTTTGTTTCCAAATGATAGCATAATACCTAATAAACTTGTTACAGTACGTGTACTACTGTGGAAATCCTGACATGCCTCACTAGGAGGGCTTAATTCACACTCCTCAGCCTCACCATCCCAGGAAATGGTCACTACTGCACAAAGATCTGCATGAAACATTTTTTGTAGCCCACCCTGTTTACCCCACCTTGAAATCAAACTTATGCAGAGGGATGTGCATTTTTCTAGTTGCACGTAAAAGCCTTGAAGATCATCTCTCTGTCCCAGGCATCTTGGCTGAAGGCATCATTCCCAAATGACCCCTACTTTCAGACCCATTTTGAAAAAAACTCTCTAGAAGTTCACTTCGTTTTCTCATAATTCTCCTTTCTTTTTCTTCCATTTCATCATGGAATGAAAAATAGCTTCAAAAACCAGGCTGGGTATAATTAGTTGTGTGGCCTTGATCAAGTCACATACCATTTCCTCATCTGAAGAACAGGGTAAGGGGGTAAGGAGACTTTTCTTTAATAGATTTTGTAAAAAAAAAAAAAAAAAAAAAAAAAAAAAGAAGTGGCACATAGCATGGGCCTCATATTTAATTTTGTATTTTAAGGAACAATAGGGAGAAATGAAATTTACATACTGAAAGACTAAATCCCAATCAGACAAGATTCATGTCATTTATATTTGCTTGTGTTTTAAAAGAAGTATTTGATCTTCATTTCAAAATGGTAACCCTTCTTACACAGCTAGGCAAACAAATAATCTTGACATTACACGTGACAATATTCTATCACTGAGAATATTACTGTGCAATTTTTAATCATTGCCACAACACATAGGTACATATACAAGTGAGTGACAGTGCCAATTTTATTATAACAAAATGTAAGTAGACCAATGCATTGGCATCACTGTTGAGCAGAGTGATGAGCCCAGTCCATCCACAAACATCCGTAAGAACAGGACCTCCATACAATAAGGTATTACAGATATGAGGCTAAAAATCCTTAATAAGAACCAATACTAAAAGAACCATACAACATTCTGGACATTATTACAACTTTACTCAGGTACACACGATTGTTGTCACCTTTCCTCTGTTTTCATATGGTAAATAAATAAGTAATAAAACCCTTGAAACAGGACAGGGATCGCTGCAATTGCTTCAGAAAAAGCAAGAAAGAAATAATCTTGTAAGACAGCATCCAACTCCCTGGCTTATCTTGGATGGGGAAGACAGATAAGAAAAAATAGGCAGTAGCATTATCCTTATATAAGAAAGGCTATCAGCTCAGCATCTCCAACTGGTAAGGGGATAAGGATCTGGTTGGGGCCACTGTGGGGCTGAGATGCCTCTCAAGTCCAAGAACAGGCCCACTTGGTTACATTGCATATTGAGAGATAGGAAGATACTAATGTAGAAATTTGCCAAGAAGACTTTAGAAAGAAGGATGAAGAGAAGGAAAAGAAGAAAAGGAGGAATAGGGTGAGAGGGAGCAGGAAGAGGAGAGAAAGACCCAGCACTGGAGACAGGGACTAAGGCAGCACCACTGGCTCTGCTCAGTTTCTCATTTTCTTCAGGGTTTTCTTCAGAGCAAGTTTGACATCCTTGTTCCTCAGGCTATAAATGATAGGGTTCAACATGGGAACCACATTCGTGTAAAACACTGAAAAAAATTTCCCCTGGCCCATAGACCCCACAGATGACGGCTTAAGATCAGTGAGCAGCCCAAAGCCATAAAAGAGTCCAACAGTTATTATGTGGGAGCCACAGGTGCTGATGGCTTTGGACCAACCCTTAGCTGAGGACATGTGAAGGATACTGAAAAGAATCAAAGTATAAGAGATGGTGATAATGAGGCTAGATACTATGGCAACTGTGCCCACAATAATAGAACTCATCAGCTCATTGGCATAGGTGCTGCTGCAGGAGAGCTGGAGGAGGGGGAAGATGTCACACATGTAATGGTTGATGATGTTGGAATCACAAAAGGTAAGTCTGATCATGCACCCTGTGTGCACCATGGCACCAGCAAACCCCATCAGGTATGAACCCAACATCAGCAGAAAACAGCTCTGAGGTGACATGGCCACCGTGTACAACAGGGGCTTACAGATGGCCACATAGCGATCATAGGCCATGGCTGTCAGCACATAGCTCTCAGAGATGACAAAAAAGCAGAAGAAAAATAGCTGAGTCATGCATCCATTAAAGGAGATGGTGTTCCTCTCTGAAATAAAGCTCATCAGCATTTTGGGGGTAAGGACAAATGAGTAACAGAGATCAATGAAGGACAGATTGAAGATGAAAAAGTACATGGGGGTGTGAAGGTGTGAATTCAGGCAAATTAGATTGATTAAGCTCAAGTTTCCCATGACAGTGACCATGTAGTTCACCCAGAACAGAAAAAACAGGGGCAGTTGAAGCTCAGGTTGATCTGTTAATCCCATGAGAACAAACTCTGTCACTGAAGAGTCATTTTCCACAGCCATTCACCCCACAGGTGTGATCTGCAGGAACAGGGTAGAAGGCGACATTAACAATGGACCCTCCTTTTCATATCCAGAGGGAGAGCTGAATCTCATGGTTTACAATCTCATGGTTGTGTGAAAACACACAATAAGGCATCTAAAAAGCAAGACTTTTCATGGTGGTTCCTGAGTATTTCCCATTTCTACCTTTCCCCTACCCACATGTGTGTCTGTGCAGAGAGAACACTAGTAGTCCTACCAATGTCTCTGCACATCTTTCCCTCCCTTTTCCTTAGGCTTCTCTAAGGATTAGGGCTGGATAGAGCAATAGATAGTGTTCCCCCCAGAACCTTCAACTTATATAGTTTTGTGTTTGAAAAGAAATTATCAAGACAAAAGTGATTCAATGCTCACCTTCCTATCCTTGGAGAACTGATCACTGCCCGACTTAGGGCCCTTCCTCCCTACTCTCCTGAGGGTGTCAAGGTTCCTGATGATGGGATGTAATAGCCATCACAGTAGACTTCAGTCTTTGACGTGTTAGAAGAAGTATTCTGGGGAACATGGCACGATTTCTATTTGAGAATTTTCCCATGTGATTCTCTTCCCTTGCAAAGAGGAAAACAA